AGGACTCATCTTTATTTGGTCTGGTTTGTTTCCATTTTGGAACGAAGTCCCTTCTCTCAGGGACATAAGCACGGTCACTATTAGGTAGGTACGACCTGACGGGAAGAATGAAAAGCCGTGGAATTTGTGCTCAATGTCTGGAATTTGTGCTCAATCCTTCAATGTCTGGCGTCTGCCGAATGTTCCGTCCTTATCCCGTCCTATCCTGCCTGGTGTCAACTGTCGTGCCATGGGCCCTGCCGACTATTCTTCCACTCCGGCCTAACACGTCCACAGCTCTGCAAACTTATACCCAAGATTTCTTTACTAATACTTACACCTGCCTGCCTACCCTGACGGCTGACTTTTGCCCTGTATTGCTCCTGGTCTTTCCCACCCTGCCCCTCGTCTTCACTCTACGCAGCTATTTTCCGCAGCAAATGTTTATTTTCGCGATTTGTTGCGATACCCAGGCTGCCGGCAGTCGAGTTCCGGTAACCACAAACCCGCTGACGCACTCTGCACCCTAGTCACCGTGCCTGCACCGGTGTTTAACGTTATCGGCTGGCCCGGTGCCAATCACACCGGCAGAGTGCTGTGTGGGAGGGGAGGAGACGACCGAAGCGCCTCAGGGGTTAGCCCGTGACCCTGACAGCTAATCTAAGGCCGGATCAGGAAAACTTGTGCAAGATTAGGTGAAGCATTCACTGTCACTGAAGTGAGTGCCAGATAGCTGGGCGCCAGCTCAGTGTTTGATAGCCGAAAGGAACGATATGAGCGGGATCCCACCCACCAATGTTTATATACAGATCATCTTCATACCGCATGAGCACTGAGCAGTCCTTATATGGTCGTGTGCAGTGTATCACAGCGCACGAGAGGGGTGAGGGGGAGTCTGACAGGGCCGGCTTCGCCAGCCGATATGGTGAAGTACCGGGCACGGCACATGACGGGCACGTCACGGACACGGCAGGGCTTAACCGCAGACAAGCAGGGCTGCGGAGTCGGAGTCGGAGTAGAATTCAGTCGGCTGGAGTGACATTACCGACCGGAGTCTGAGAGCCGTGCCCGTGACCTTTCCCCACCGACTGTGCCCACACCAAACAAACGGTCACGGCAGCTCCTGGCAGAGAGCCAAGCCGAATCCCGAGCCCCGAACGTGACTCAGACTATCACGGGCCGAGGTATCACAGCGGTAGGAGCGGCGGGGTGCTGCACCGGCAGGTTAAAACCTGACCCGACTGACCGACGTGTCGGAGCGGCAACGGTCGGCAAAGCGGCTCACGCAGCTCAACGGATTCAAATTGGGCTCAGGGAGTTCGGTCACAAGGTCGAGTTTGAGCAGACGAGTAGAGCGATGGGATGTTTGTATGACGTCGTGAGGACACTTTGACCTTGCCTTCACCCTCATGACACACCTCGCTCGTCCCATACCGGCTGAGGCCGAGCCGTGAACGGCCATTGATCGCCCCGCCCTCCCTCTCCAGCCCAGTCCAGCTGATAGAGCGCCGTCGGACCGGCCGCTACCACGGGGGAGTGCCCTCGGTGGTCGGCAGTCGGCAGTCGGTGCCGTCCGCGGGTCCACGGCAGAGGTTAGCTCAGTGCGCCGTTCCAGCGATGGTGTGTGACACGGAGCGATTGTGTGCCTGTGCCGGGCAGCGGCTGTGTCGTGCCTGTATCCACAGCCGGTGTCGACGAGCCGACTGTTACTGTCGTGGCGGCACGCGCCTCTGCCGAGTCGGTCTGCACGGAGTGACGAACACACTGGGACGACTGGTGCCTCAGAGGTGGAGGTCCGGCGATACGTGGTCCCAGGTAGGTGAGCGAGCAATGAGGCCTTGAGGTAGGACAACGCTGGGAATGGGCGGTAGGACTAGGGAGAGCTCCCTGATCAGTGAGCTCCCACTTATCTGTATCCATGACACTACTATAGCGAAAATAAACATCCGATTGCAGCTATTCATTGGACTTTTTCCCGATTCCGGATTGTGATTATTCGTCATATTAGCTTCCTGTTTACCACTGATATAACTGTCAGCGCTCTTTTATGTAGACTATCATAGACAACACGTAAACCATGAATCATTATAGCATGATTCATGTTATCTATGGCTCTATCCTTCAACGCTCTAAGTCCTATCGTGCCGTTCAAGTCTATCCGTGAGTCTATCTAATCTTGACATTGCCTGAATCATTCCGTTCCCGATATACATATAAAGTACCCATATGTAACGGTTTATTTGATAGAAATTACTTTGCACTGTATACAAATTATCAGTAATAAAGAAACCACTTCACGCTCACTGAAAGCATCCGATACCATGGCGATACAGGTAAAGCTATCGCAGCATCGCAGGCAGTTGTTGGCATTTGGCAGTAACTATCGTTTCAGTCTGCAAAGTTGATGTCAGGCCATGTACACTCGCATCACGTCCCTGATCGGAGACCTGCAGATACAACACGTCCTCACCAGCAGGGCGCACGCGGGACACGTGGCCATGTGGTTACAGGGAAAGAACAGCACACACGCGTCCTCCTCCATGCAAATCTTGCAGAGCCGCTCGTCGCGTAGACGCTGATACTCGGTGACCCCCGGGGCAGCGGCGCTCCCAGCTCCCGTCGTGGGTACACCGTTCACAGTAGCAGGTGGTTTAGCAGAGTTCTGACTCAGTTTCGCGGCTGTCCAGACCTCATTAGGCGACTGCCTGGATCCTGTAATATCCTGCGCCTGGTTTAGGTCCTGGGTGGGTTCTGCTACATGCCGTCGCATGGCTTCAGGTTCTCGGTTGGATCTTTCCTGTATCGGGCCAGGATGTGAGTTAGATTCTTCGAGTTCATATGTCTGCCTGTGGTGTTCACCTGCCCCTGTCATTCCTGGCGTTGGATCAGGCTCTTGGTTCAACTCTAAGATGTTTCGAATCTGTTGCAACTCTTGGCTTGACAGCGCCTCGCCCGGACCAATCTCAGGGCTTAGAGCTACTTCTGCAGACTGCTGAACAAGGCCAGCTTCCTGGTCATGTGCCGGGTGACCTCGTGGCAGTCTGGGTTCTTCCGATGGCCTCGGTGGCGAGGACAACCCTTGAAACAACGACGTGACTTCATGGGCCGGCGTGGGCTCGCGGTAAGCCAACTCTGGGGATTCAACATCCTCCCTTCCTGTCACTGAGGGTTCTCTCTCAGTCCCCTGCGTATCTTTGGCTCCTCGACCAAGGATCGGCCGGCCACCCTGACGGTCCCCCGGTGATGTTCCTGACCAGGCGACCTCCTCGCCGCTCGAACCACCTTCCGCAGGTTTGTACAGCTTCACAAAGTAGCAGCCGGCTCTGTGGCGAGCGTGCTCCGACCAGGGATCATCACCTGGCTCCCACTGACCGATAGTGACACCGCAATGGAAACATCGAACTCGATCGTCACGACCAGTGTAGTAGAAGCCAGCTCGGGCCAGCGCCTCTGGTCTGACACACGCGCCGTCCGGCCAGCCCTGGAAGCTCCCCAGGCGAGACTCCACGGTGGCCATCTCTTGAGGAACCGGGCTGGGCTGGACGGCCGGCGGCGGGCTGTGGAGATGACGACCAGTCTCATCCCTACCAGCGGCTTGGTGATATCCGACAGACCCCGGGGCAGTCTGCAGGCGATGTAGAAACGAGCACAGCGGACTATGTCTGCGATGTTCCTCAAACGGATCGTCGGATGGATCCCAGTTTCCTAACGACACCCAACAGAAGGCACACTGCGCTACATCGGCGGAGCCCGTGTAGAAGAATCCAGCACGAGCCAGCTCCTCCGCAGAGGGGCGTAGCATAGGCCAGCCGAAGAAAGTCCGTCGCCGATTCGACTCGTCGTGCATGTCAGCCATATCGACGGCTTATGGGCGACCACAAGGCACAATCATTACGTGAAGTCACAACCCTGCCGCAGTTAGCCTCGAATGTAGACAGTGTTGGACCTGGCGGCACCTCTTCAGTGCTGCTAGACTTGGCAGTTGGCTTGAGTTCGAAAGAGGATACCTCATCCAAGGCACACCGCACTGAGGGTCTCACAACAGGATGTCAGTCCGCTCGAAGTTCTCGTAAACTGCACCTCACCGGGCGTCACCTCACATCCCGCAGAGGGGCTCGACTCAGGCCTCCCTATCTCGGTCGCTTCCTTCGCTCACACCCAGCGTCCCACCACGCTGCGACGGCACAGACTGCTCTGGGAGCGTGTTCGCGACTGTTGTTGACTGTCTCTGTCGAGTGCTATCGGTGGGCTGTCGGCAGTGTTACAGGTACTCCGTACTCAGTGCCTGGGAGAGGCTCGGTAGTGCAACTGATAGGGGATATGGGACACAACTCACCTTTGAACGGTAATGCACAGTAAGAGCCCATCGAGGATCTCGGAATGACGAGATATTTGTGGACTAAATTTCAATGGGTATTTTTGAGGGTTATTCCCGCAATGTTAGGGCTGAATGGCAGAACAAACGAAAATAATTTATTTAATCTTAGACTGTTCGGTCCGTTGTTAAATACCTTCAAACCAAAAAGGCATTTCTATTTTCCACTTAGTTAAGATGGAATGAACGGGCATCTTACACAATGTACTAACTTAGTAATGAGGCCTGGTGACGCGTGACCCAGGGTTGTAACTCCAACAGCATGTAAAGAAGGCGTAACCAACGGTCAAGTCCTGGTTAAAGCATAAACGAACAACTTCGGACACCTACTGTTAAGCACGCCAGTTGCGCCATCCAAGCCAAATGGCGTCCGTGACGTTTAAGTCGCTACGGCGTCGACCTATCAGCCTCGGGCTTCCCCTTAATGAAATTATCGATTTGGCCACAGCCATCGATCGAGTCGGAAGGCGTAATTCCCTTCGATGAAGCTTGTTCAGCGATTTTCTGAGCAGGCAGCCTTCTTACAAAGTCGCAATTATTTATCCCTTCTCGCTACCTCAAATCCTATAAGTTATCCAAAAAGCCTGTGCCTTGTGCTCCACCCGACGGATTCGTGCCAATTCCAAACCCCAACCACACTCGCTGCTCGGCTAGACAGGTGTGTGTATTGTCCTGCCGTCACTCATGACACGTTACATCCAGTACGAACAATGAGAGGTGAATGAGCGAGACATACGCTCAGTCTTCGCCCCGTCGGTGATCCGATAAAACGCATACTGTCGGTCGGCCCCGCTCCGCCTGGTCGGGGACCGTGGGCCGCAGCAGCAGACAGAATCAGCTAGTTAGAAACGCTGCACCCCCCGTCCGCGGCTGCGCCTCCGCGCAAATCCCCCACGCCCGCCGCGGTTGCCCCTGCCGCGAGGGGTGCCCGACCCAGAGCCCGGCGTCTTGGCCGGGGCGGCCGCCGTCTTGGCTGGGGTTGCCGCCGCCGTCTTGGCTGGAGTGGCCGCCGCCGTCTTGGCTGGGGTGGCAGCCGCGGCCGTCTTGGCAGGGGCAGCTGCCGCCGCTTCGGTCTTCTTGGCCGCGTCACCTTCCGCCGGCTTCTCCGTGCCATTGGTGGCCGCCTCGCCGGACTCCTCTCCCTTAGCGGCGGGCTCCTCTCCCTCAGCGGCGGGCTCCTCGCCCTCAGTCTTCACAGCAGCCTCGCCCTCGGTCGCCTCACCGTCCGCCTTCTTGTCGCCGTCCAGCTCCTCGTTCATCTCGTCCAGCATCTTGTCTATGCCGCTCTCATCCGCCGGAGCCTCCTCGGTGGCCGCCTTCTTGGCCTCGCTCGACTCATCCTCCTCGGCGGCGCGCTTGGTGCCGCGCCCCTCGCCCCCGGCCGGCTCCTCCGGGTCGGCCTCGTCCTCCATGACGCTCACCTCTGCATCCTCAGCAGCCTTCTCGGCAGCGGCTGCTGCCTTCTCAGCCGCGGCCGCCTTCTTCTTCCGGCGCTCCTCCTTCTCGGCGGCCTCCTTCTTTGCCCGGTCGATGGCGGCGCGGGCCACCACAAACCGGCTGTAATGCATCCGACTGCGGCAGTGCTCCGGCCAGTACTCGTTCGGAGTAACCAGCTTGCAGACGGAACAGTAGGTGCCCACGAACGGTTTGCCGGCGCACGCGGCCACCGTCACATCCGGGTCGTAGGTGACCGGAATCTCCTCGTCCTCGATGGTCTTCTCGGGCTCTTTGGGCTTCTCTGGCTCCTTGGCGGCCTCCTGGCCCTCGGCAGTGGCAGCCTCAGCGCCCTCGCCGGCCGCCGCAGTCTCGCCCTCAGCGCCCTCGCCGGCCGCCGCAGTCTCGCCCTCAGCGCCCTCTGCCGCCGCGCCCTCTGCTCCCTCGGCGGGCTTCTCCGCGCCCTCGGCCCCCTCCGCTCCCTCGGCCGGTTTCCCTGCGCCCTCCTTGGATTCGCCGTTCTCCTTGGCGGCTGCAGCAGCGGCGGCGGCCACACCTTGACTGGCGTCTCCCATCACGCCCATGGCATTGACACCGGCCTCCGTGGCGCGGTCCTTGTCGCGCTGCTGACATTTCTGTCGACGAAACAGGAGAGAACAGTCAGTTTATGGATAAGACAACAGTGACAACTAAACGTACACAAGTCCAGCCAGGAAGTCGCTTAGTTCTTAGGTGCCACCGTAGAAATAAAACGTAATAAAAGACATTGCTGCCTTATTAGCCAGTGACTTACCCGGAAGTGAGCGAACGAGATCAGATGGCGTTCGTACAGGACGGGAGTCTCAAATCCCATACCGCAGCAGCGCGGGTGCAGGAACCTGAGAACAAACAACGTCGTCAGTTTAACTGTAATCATCCGATCGTGGGACGATTCATCGGCAGGAAGTTTGGGTAACATAGACACCAAAAGATCAGTGTTTAAACCAGACCACTCAGCATGACCCCAAACAGCTCGACCAGCGTTAGGCCTGAAACAGACTCTTTCCGCAGTCAGGAAATCGCATGCGAGAGCCTATTCAAATACATGGAAGCACGCTAGCATCAATCGCACGCACCTCCCGGATGCGATTGCTGCGGGAAGAACTATAGTGTATTTGAATAGGCTCTCGCATGCGATTTTCTGAATGTGGAAAGAGTCTGTTTCAGCCTTTACTCACTTCTTCAGCTTGGAGTGCAGCGGATCGTTGAAGCGGTGGTCCTGGATCTCCTTGTAGACCTTGACGTTGCACATGCCGCAGAAGCCGGTCTCCTTGGGCATCTTGCCGTTGAGGCGGCGCTGCGCCTCCTGCTCGGCGCGGCGTGCCGCCACCTGCACCTCGATCCGGATCAGTTTGGCCGTCTGCTCGAGCTTGGAATCCATCAGCTCCATCATCTGCTGGTGGCGGCGGCCGCGCGTGTGCTCACTGAACGTCTGCTCGCTCTTCATGTTCATGACGTTGCAGACTGTGCAGTTGAGGTACTCGGGCAGGATCTTCTCGCGCTGAGGCTTGGCGGGCTTGGTCTTCTTGGCGTCGCCCTCCTTGGCGTCGGTCTTCTCCCCGTCGGCCTTCTTCTCACCGTCGGTCTTCTTTTCGCCGTCGGTCTTGGCCTCTCCCTCCTTAGCCTCGCCTTCCTTGGCGCCCTCGGCCCCCTCCTTGGACATCAGGTCGGCGCCCTCGGCACCCTGCTGATGGAAAAAAAAAACAGTCGCGTTAGAAAGAGAACAAGTGTTGAACTATCGCAACGGATACAACAGCATCACATTACAAATAGACGCCTCTCTAAACAACGATCCAATCGTCCTTAGGAATGTTTTTTATCGAATATGATATTTTCAGGCAACAAAGACAAACATTCTTATAAATAGGCCCATTTCAGCGCGAAATATTATGGAACATTATTCCATGACGCATGCGCAGTAGGCATCAATGGGCGGATCTTCGAACGTATGACGTCACGACTGAGTATTTTGCCGCAGAATGGCATGACGGATTTTCGTGATGCCGATGGTTTTGCTACTCAATGTGGCGCACCAAGCGATAGAATTATGGCGCGTTTCTTTCTTGCGGGGATGTATTGGAAGGTGTAATATCGTGAATTGGTTAGTTACTAACCTAGAAAGTTAATTTGAGAAACACTTTAGTACGTTGTTTTCTAGTGGCTTTCGTGTTAATCGTATATGCTGCACCGATGGTAGGCGATCGCCGCATTTCGCTCGCTGGCAGAATATTCTGCCGGAGTGTTTCACAAAATATTCTGCCGTCCGGGGTCTGCGACGTCACCAGAAATGGGATGTCAAACCCAGCAGAATATTCTACCGGGCCTGAAATAGGCCTAGGCTTTAATCCTCAATCCGAATATCCCCAGGTTCTCATAAGTCTAACCTTTTCCTTGTCGTCGCCGGCCTCCATCTCCTTCTCCAGAGCGGCGGCCTTGGCTTCATCGAGAGCCTCCTGAGTCGTCTTCACCGTCTTCTTGGTCTCCTTCTTCTTAGCCGGAGCGCTGCGCAGGGAAACTCAGTCAGAGCGAGGAACTGGACACATAGGCAATCCAGCGCTATCTTAATTTATAAAAAAACGACTGATCTTATTCAGTAACAACCGCAAAAGTAAAACCATGATGGTCAGTTATGACGATCGCCTGGAATAACGAAGTTTTGACGAACTTGGCGATCTGGAAGAAAACAAAACGGTTGCGTTTGAATACTAAAAATTAGTGCGATCCACCAAGTCTCAAGCATTCTGTGCTGAGCAATACGTGCTCATACCGAGGCGACAGCTGAATCCGCACCAGAATGTTCAAAACATTGCGAAACACAGCTGATGGAAACTGGCCGTTGGCGCCACTGACGTCACAAGTCAGCGACCGACCGGCCGTCCGACGCCTCGCCACGCCCGCCCGAGCCAAGGTCAGTGCCATCGCTCCACCGCCGAGGTCGGTCGGCCAGCTGGGCAGCGAACAGCTCAGGCAGCCGTTGAGCCGCGCTGTTGCTAACCTTTCGTCGGTGGATGGTGGACGTTTTGGTCGAGGGCGGCGCGCTGCGGCGCGCGGCGCTGTCACTAACCTTTTGACCGTCGATGTTTTGGTGGCGGTGCGGCCGGCAGTGGCCGGAGCGCTGCGGTTGTACGGACGGCTGCGCACACTGGTGGCACCCCGTCCGCGGTACGTGGTGCGGCCGCGAGCCGGGCTGGCGAACGCATCTCCGCCGCGCCTGTCATACTAAGGGGCGAGGCGGCAGCGTCGCAGGTCCAGGGCCGGTCAGCACGGGCGAACGGGTTGGGACGGAGGGCTGGCGGGGCGCCGCTTGGTAGCTCCGGTGAAGAATCATAAGAAACCTTTCTGAACGGATGCTAAATGATGACTGGGTGCTTTTTGATGCAAATAGATTGCTTGGTAGAGCTAAAACTAGTCGGAAATAATAGATTCTTCCGTAAGATGCGTTCCATGAGTTGATTATAAAACGCTCAGATGTTGGTGCCGAAGGGGCGATGATCTCCTAAAGCTTATGAGTTTGCAACGCATCATTTAGCAATATGAAGCCAGGAAGAACTTTGCAGAAAGAATTCCTTTGCATTTGAAATGGGACGAAGGTAGATTAAATCGAAACACCGTTCGCCACATGACTAGAAAGTCTGCGGGACAATGACTGAAGGCATTCCAAACGCCTTTGTCTGGACATTCTTGAATCATAGAACTGAAGGATTCCTGGCTGTTTTCGTTGTTTGGAGCACTGGGAAATTGATAACAGAGGATGCACACCGCAAGCCCGGCTTTAAATGGTTCGAGAGAACCAAAGGCCGGGCAGCTGTGGCCACGGGTGATGGATGAAGCACCGAGCGAACGCCTCTCTCCCTCGTGGAAGGATCTCTCCAGAGTTCAGCGACCGGTGACACGACTCGCGACCAGCACACGCATTCAGTGCAGCGAACAGAATCAATATTTGGCACAGAAGCATGGTTGAGAAAGAGCAATAATACACAAGCGTCAGACAAAGGGCTTTCGAAATGCATTGCTGCGTGGGAAGCCACTCCATGGAGTGCTGCCACGCGGGTGCTGGGGACTTGGGGGACCAGTGCGCATATTCTCCCTCCATTGGGAATTAGTTGGCCAGAAGACACTAGCCACACCGGAGGCGACCGGTGGTGGCTAGGTCAGCCTCTCTCGCGGAAACCCTCCCAGAGACCCGGGTCCCCGCTGGCCGTCAGGAACGGCAGGACCCGGCCGGCGGCCGATCGGTCCTCGCACAGAGTACAGTGGTCAGGCACGGGTCGGGTGGGGAGCAGCACGTCGGGCGGGGTGTGTAGACAGTTACCTTGGCGTTATAGTCGGCCCGGTGGCCGAAGTCCGCGCGGCCGCCGTCAAAGCTGCTCCTGCCGCTGCGATATCCAGCGCCGCCGCGGCCCCCGTACCCGCCGCCGGCCGCGCCGAACGGAGCCGGTGCTGGGCCCGGCGGTCCGAACGGCTGCGGCGCGCGCTGGCGCTGGTTCTCCAACAGCGCTGACACCAGCTGGGTGGCCATGTTGAGCGTCTCGTTGGATCCGCCGCCCGGCACGGGGCCCAGCTGCGAGAACACATCGGGCCCGCCACGACCTGGCCGGCCGCAACACCGTCAGCGGCCACAGGCACACTCAGAGGCACGGCGGGCGCGGAGCCAGCGCTCAGACCCGGGACGCCGCGGCGCGTCCTCGGCCCCAGGAGGTCGAGCTGCCTCCGTGGAGGACCGGGCGGCACGGGGCCGGCCCCGGCGCACCGCCCTCCGCCTGGCGGACGGCGGAGCGCCGCCGTGGCACGGGTGGCCACGGCGCCGAGCGGGCCAGTGTCCACCCGTCCAGAAGGTGGGGGACACGCCCACTGCGACGGGGCACTCGAGTGGGATTTGACCACCTGGGTGCGTCCCGAGGGACCTGCCAGGGGTAGAGATTCTGTACAGAATCTTGCTGAAACTGTCTGATGTAAGAGAAAACACTTATAGCACGTATAGGTAGTGTCCAGTGACACACAAATACGTGCCGATAACACGCAGAACTCTGTTCCAGCGGAAAGTTTCCGTTGGCAACGCAGCCTGCTACTTATCGACACACAGTAGCGCGTCCGAGCGGCCACGGACGGCCACTCGCTCAGCGATTCGTCAGTCAGTCCGTAGTGTCAAACGGCAGAGCGCCACTGCGTAGGAGTCGGAACAGAGTCCAGTCCAGTTCTCCGCAGCTTGAAGAGATCCACAGCACACCAACATCCAAAGCAATTTCGTAAAACCGGTCTCCAATCTTCTGACCACAAGCACTGGGAGGCAGCCATGGAGGCCGCATTAGCAAGTTCACGCGCGGTAAGGGCACGAAGTTGGGCAATGCGTGCCCACGGGTATATTCCGAACTCGTCTCTTCCCATTGACCGTCAGCATCGTTTTTAACACTCGAAAAAACCATCTCCAGCTCGTCTGTACGGCCGGGATGAGTCGCGCCCATCCTCCGACCGACCGACAAGCACGTCTCCACGCACGACTCCATTCCATCGACACTCCATTCCATCGACAGTCAACAACCAGCGACCAAACACACGGCGCGTCTCGCGGCCAGTGCCCTCTAACGTGTGGCACCAGCGGGATCGCGGCACTGCGCGCGCTCGTAAGGCGAGGTTGGCGTACCGTTGGCACGATTCGGCGGAGGGTACCAGACACTATTGCTCACTCAGAGCGCCACTAAGTCGGCCTCTTGCCGTCAGTTTCGGCGCTCGGACACCGCGGGGCACGCAGGCCCGCCAGTGCGGTTAGTCTTGCCAACAGCGCGTGCCCACGGTGTCAAGTTGTAAGGAGCGATGACTGGCGTTGAAACACCATTTCCCACAGGCACGACACTAATAGGCAGAACTCAATAGAGTTCTGCGTTTCAAAGGAATAAGTACGTCTCACAAAAAGAAATATCATTAGATTGGTTTGATGTTGCCAAAAATTATTATCATATCTATTTAGCAGGCCGGCAAATCGCTCAATTGTGTAAAATTGACACCTTTTTAAAAGGCATGTGATTAGGCATTAACTCACAATTGTAATCCTTTTTACCATCTCGTAAAATTTTGGTGCCTATTTCAACGTGTTCAAAAGTACCACACAAATGGCTAGATTAGGTGAGACACTAAAGCCTCAAATCATTTTTTTTTAGAAACAATAACAGCAAACAAATTTGTTGCATACTAAAACGAGCTATACATGAAATACAATTCATAGCAACGATATACACTAAACCTTTTGTCAGTTCTAGGCTTATCAGTTCAAGAATGGCCAGCTTTTCATCCACCTTAACCATTTGAACAACTTTAGAGTAGTTTTTGCTGGCAAATTAGCACCTACCATTTCACTGACCGAGTATCAAAGTGTGATAACCAAAGCTAAAGTCTACTCAAGAAAAACTTCAAGCTAGGATCTCACAATAGTAAGAAATCTGCTTTCCCCTTTACTTTCCAGAAATCTACCTTCGAAAATAACAGCCACCGACAATACTTCCCCCCGGTTTCGCTCCCGACTTACCACCAACGTCCGGTCCGGCTCCGCCGCCCCAGCTGTTCCGGTTGGGCCCCTGCCCGGTGGCCCAGGGGCTGACGCTGGGTCCCGGGCCGCCGCCGAACGACTGACGCCCGCCGCTGCCAAAGGACTGACGCCCAGTGCTGCCAAACGACTGGCGCCCAGTGCTGCCAAACGACTGGCGCGCGCCGCCGCCACTGCCCAGCGCCGGGTCCAGCGCGCCGAACTGGCTGCTGGCGCCGGAGCGGCGCTGGCTCGACTCGCGCCGCTGGTAGCCGCCACCGCCCTCGTACCGGCCGCCGCCACCGCTTCGTGCGTTGTACACCATCCTGGTAGTTCTGCAGGCAACCAAGAGCTGATAAGCAACTGTCACTGACACTGGCAACATACATGCTGATATGAACTACCTACCTATATACCCCAATCCTAACTCCTAACAGATAGTTGAAACACCTGATACACTGAAACATAAACCAATTGTGAGCAGGAGCCAGATAACAACTGAATCATTTGGATTTAGATTTAGCACATTTGTTATGACAACAAAGAAGTAAGATAAGACATGATATTACAGTTTAAAATAAAAAACTACTCAAATTGCAGGGAACTAATATCAAATGATTTTAAGAAAGACAAAAAAGATACAAAAGACAGAAACATTCAGAGATTGTCTGGCAAACACATCATAAACAGACAAGAGAAAGAAAAACAATGAACAAAAAGAGAAATAGGGAGAAAGAAATAGAATTACATTGAGATGAAAATGAACAAGAGGAAGAAGAGAAAGACAGAAGCATAGTAAGAATAGGAAAAATTGAAATGGAGAATTAGAAAGACAGGAGACAGACTACAGAGTGATGAATAAGCAAAAACACAGAATGAGTGACAAGGTAAAATTGGCAGGGAATATAGAAAAAGGAAGAAGAGACAAGACAAAAAGCAAGCCAGATGGAGTGAGAAAGAGGATAATAGGGAGAGACAAAGGAGAAAAATACATGTGATTGAGAGAGAGAGAGAGAGAGAGAGAGAGAGAGAGAGAGAGAGAGAGAGAGAGAGAGAGAGGGAGAGAGAGAGAGAGAGAGAGAGAAAGAGAGAGAGAGAGAAAGAGAGAAAGAGAGAAAGAGAGAAAGAGAGAAAGAGAGAAAGAGAGAAAGAGAGAAAGAGAGAAAGAGAGAAGGAGAGAAGGAGAGAAGGAGAGAAAGAGAGAAAGAAAGAGAGAAAGAAAGAGAGAAAGAAAGAGAGAAAGAGAGAGAAAGAGAGAGAGAGAGAGAGAGAGAGAGAGAGAGAGAGAGAGAGAGAGAGAGAGAGAGAGAGAGAGAGAGAGAGAGAGAGAGAGAGAGGAAAGAGAGGAAAGAGAGGAAAGAGAGAAAGAGAGAAAGAAAAAGAGAGAAAGAGAGAGAAAGAGAGAGACAAAGAGCAAAAGGGAGAAAGGGAGAAAGAAAGAGAAGTGAAAACATAAAAAGATAGGTTTAGATAGGGGGAATGAAAAAAGAGAAGGGAGAGCAGTAAAAAAGTAGGGAGAGATGTAGAATAGAAAATAAAAATTAAAAGGAAGGGTAAAAGAGAGGAAAGAATGAGGGCGATCAGGATAGAAAGGAGAGAAACAGGGGAAGGGCAAGAGTAAAAGAGAAAGGGGCATATAAATAGGGGAGAAATAGGGTAGTGTGAGATAAAATGGAGACCAAAAACAGGGGAAAAAGAGGGAACGAGGGAGAGAAAGTGGAGAGTGTTGCAAAAAAAGAGGGGTGGAGAGGAAATAGAGCGCAGAAGTCAAATTACACGCGTATGTTCTGATTCCTCTTCTCTGCCCCACAAATCCACCCACCAGCCCCAGATCATGTTTAATTGGAACTGGCATATCCCTAAGCAACTCCTTCTCTCCTCTCCCTTAGAATAGACTGTGGAAAGACAACTGAGTAGCTGAACGGGTTTGAGTTAAGGCGAGTCACGAGCAACAAAAATAGCAAGAGAGCAAGAGCAGGTCATGAGAGGGAGAGTATGCAGGAGAGGCAAAAAAGAGGCAAGGAAAACAGTTGGAATGTGCCTCCCTCTTCCTATGCATGTAGGTACCTTACTTATCCGGCTAAGCTGAGTCGCAAGGAGTCGAGCCTGGGCGAAGCCCCAAAGGATCCTTATTACAGTACAGTCTTAGGAATACCCTGACGAAAATGAGAAAAAAAATCGAGCTGATATTTATGAAAGCAGCCGCGGTCGGCTTATTCGATAAAAATGCAACTGGGACAAATATTGAAATCCGCACGATACACAAACCGCCACGAAAACGACGCAACGCCGGTTTTGCGCAAAATGGCGCCGGCCGCCGACAGCTACATTAGTGATGATAATTTTTGTCAAACATATAAATTTTTGTAGACGATAAGCCTGTGGAAAGTCATGAAATATTTAAAGAAATGCCCAAAATATTTCATTTTCAAAAAAAACATTCATCATATTTTTAAATACAAAGTAGAGATATTTAATGTCTAAACTGCGTCATTTATGTAACCGGTTTTGGCGCTATTCGAGCATTTCGCTGTCTGTTCAATCTTTCATAACGTGAGCCAAATCAGCCGGACTTATTTGCTGCTGCTGCTAGCATGCAGAAGCGCTTACAGTCGAGTTTTAGTTTTGAACTTTTTTGACAGGCATAATCCGCATAATATTAGTTAAATTTAAAAATTGGCTTAATATTAAGCTTGGAAATTTTTTCCCTTTTCGTCCATGATCAATGAGCTTATGTGACGTAGGCATATTTCAGAATGACATCAAAACAATCGAACACTCGTGCGCCGGCACTTTGACTTGGGGCGCGTTTTCGTCTGAGTGCGAGGTCTGTGGTATTTTATTTGTTTTTATAAGTCAGTCCAAGTCAGTCTGTGGTGTTTTTTCGAGGTTATAGATCTCAAACCGGATACAAATAGAAATATTAGGGCTGCGGAAGCTATGGCTTCACTTACAAAAAGCCAGCTTATCAATGAGTTGATCAATCACGGCGTGACTCCTCCTTCCCCTTCTGCGAAGAAAGATAGGCTGGTGCAGCTTTATGAGAAGCATGTTGCTCCCCATCAGGAAGCTGCAGGAGAATTTTCCAGCGATGACGAAGGACCCGCAAAACAGCAAAATGGAGATGAGGTTGGTTAACAATTAACATCGTCATTCATATCAAGCTAATTGTGACATCTCATGTCTCATCTCATTTTGATCTGCGAGGGTGGCGGCTTTGCACTGAGTACCTATAGAAATGTTGCGGCTAGGACCCTAAATCGGTCATGCCACTTGTGTACAGACTAACTAGTGGCTGTCAGGCAGCCTGTCCCTGCTCGCACAGTGCCTCGGCTGCTGATTGACGATCATAATTCAGAGTGATGATGTCAGGGGTGGAGATCTGTCAAAATTTCAGGGGGGGGGGGGGGTCCAGGCCGGGCAGATGGAGGCAGGCTGGATGCAGTATCATTGACTTACATAGCAGTAATTTGTTTTCAGGGGGGTCCTTACCCCCCCCCCCCCCGACCCCCCCAAGATCTCCACCTCTGGGTGATGTCATGCCAACTAGTCATCTTTGGTGAAAAAAAACAATGGCAAAATTTGTGAAATTTTATAGTCAATAAATGAAAAACTGCTGCAAAGACTTAAGGGGTTGGTAGCCTAGGTACCTATTGAAATAATTGTTTTTTCCCTGCCAAATATCTGTTCATTTTTGTCTTGGCAGAAGTCCAAGTCTTTTCCTTTCATTCTGCCCAAAATAATCCCCTATTTCCTTTGCTCATCGCATTCCCATTTTAATGAATTAATTGCTATGCCCCATTATTTCAGGGATCAGTGTCATCATTGGCCACTGATGTCTCCGAGCTGAACAATGAGGAGCTGGCCGAACACCTCAGATCTCATGGTGTCAACGTGGGACCTATTGTTGGTAAGGGTCAAACATCGGTAACGTTAACCCATGCTAGTTTGTTGATAATACCAGTTGCCTTTTGGGGCGACTAACAGAGCGAGCGAGTGGGTGGGCCTTGCACGTGTGAAATTGCGAGGGGTTACCTCCAACTGACTTGTGCACGGCACCCTACTAACCGGTCTCTAGCGATGTGCCAAAGTTGGGCACAATCGGCCCAGCCGTTCTCGAGATCTGGAAGCGGCACCCTGCACGTGCGCACGTGCAAAATGGATCCCAACTGACTTGCACGGCACCCTACTAACCGGTCCCTAACTGTGTACCAAATTTGAGCGCAATCGGTCGAGCCGTTCTCGAGATCTGGAAACGACCCCTGCACGTGCGCACAGAAGCACCCCAACTCTGGCACATGGATATGCAGTGTCTAGTGGGTGCCTACCTACATGCCAACTTTCAGCGCAATCGGCCAAGTAGTTAACGAGATATTGCAACAATTACAAAACTGACACCACTTCATTTTGCACGTGGCACGTGCATAAGGGGTCACCCACATGCATCGGGAATAGTCCAATACTTGGTAGAAGGAATGAAGCTACCCTACAAAAATTACCGCGTGTAAATCGGTCAAGTGGTTGCTGAGATATAAGCCTCGCAAAAGCATCCGCACGGCCGGCCGGCCGCTCATACTCAGAAATTTCCGTTAATCTAAGGAAAGACTCTGCTCGCTTCGCTCGCTCCGTAATTACAGGTATCTCAATGTTGAGACATGCTGGTGAATAGTTTACCAGATAAACATGATGACATAGTTTTGGACCACCTGCATTTGTACCAAGTCTTTGTTTTAATGTATGGCCTAATGATCCAATTTTTAGATAAGATTTTGCTATTTGAGAGCTCACAATATTTACATGGTAAACCAAATAGGGCATTGCTTATCAACATTGTTTCATAACTACAAACAGTGTGGCATGGCTACTGGCTAGTTCACAAGGGACAAGTCTGCAGTTAAGGTGCACCACCAAGTACTGGTGCTGAAACCCAATGCGATCACCTGCCACCCTACGACACATTCACTGCAGCAATGCTGCTGTATTTTAACTGAAAGTGCTTAACCCTCGCCCGTATTGGTGTTTTGCTAGCCGCACATGTACAGGGTCCTTTGCCGTTTGGCCCCTGATTGAGCTAGAGCTACACGGAAAAAATGAGCCTGTTGCCTGTGATGAGAGGATGAGAAAGCCGCTAATGCCCAATTTTAAGGTCCTAGGTCATTCATGGTTAACCTTCCAGGTCAGGTCATTGACCAAAAAGTCAGGAAAATCGTGACCTGTCAGAACTTTATAAAGTGATGCTGTAATGTTTTTTTTTGGGGGGGGGATTGCTGATCACGAATTTCATGTTGGTTTTGATCACAGATGTCTTCATGCATTTAGGCCAGGTCGGGTCAGGTGAGGTTAGGTCAACCAATAGTTGTCCTGCCGGGTATTCATAGTGGGTGTCAGCTGCCACTGAGACCTTCATAACGTGTTACGAAAGCACCAAAACTGCTTTTTAAATGTTCAAATGCTTGCTAAATTCGAGATCAGCTTTAAAAAAACTAGCCTAGAAACATGTAAAACTCAAAGGTGAACCAAGGTAATCAAAAGTCAATGACCTGGCCTGACCTTTGATTGACCTTGACATCCACCATAATGCATAGGACCAACATCATTTCACATGTTTGAATGTTTAAAACCACAAAGAGACTGCAAACGCGCAGCCGCTTTTTGCGCGAGTTATTTGCGGAAAACCTTAGGGGGAGGTTGCATCACCCCCCCCCCCGGCCCCCCCGTGCCGGCGTGGGTTAACTGAAAGTGATTTAGTGAAGTCTGATATTTTTGGTCTGTCTGGTCTGTATTATAAAAATATGCAAATCAATATGTTTTCCTAAACCCTACACCCCTTTTTTTCTCCACCTCAGGGCTCAGCACTAGTTGGTCTGTGTATCAGCTATCTGTTGACCTCACCTCACCAACTCCTCTCTGCCGCAGGTTCTACTCGCCGACTATACGAGAAGAAGCTCTCCAAGCTACTGGGTGAGACTGCTGTTGACGGCGCCGCCGCCGAGCGCACCACCACCACCCGCTACAGCACGCGCACCGTCACCACTGTGGTGAACGGTAGCGGCGGCGGTGACGAGTACTCGGACAGCGAGCCGGAACTGGAGCCGGAGCCGGAACGGCGCCCCGAGCCAGAGCCGGAGCTGAGGAAGAGACGCACCGTGGACGCGGCTCCTCGTGAGTAGAACGGAGGCCCCCACGGGGGAAATGGGCTAAGCTTACACCACTTGTGGTGATTCATTAATGACGGGAGAGAAGGAAATGGAGACTGACTTGATCTGCCAAAGTCCAGTTGACTGGTTTGATCGTCATTTTATTTCATGTTTGGATGTGATTTCATGGTGTTTCTCTTGACCAATGTCCTCAAGGTCAGTATGACTTTCAGTGTTTATGAGACTTTCTCTGATACCTGGCCGACCCATGCAGTTAGGTGTATGCATGCAGGCTGGGGGTTTAAATGAAAAGGTTGCAGATGTGTTTTGCATCGTTCTTGCCTGGTTTTACAGGAGGATACAGTTACAAGTATAGATCATCCAGAGGTAACTACCAGCCTGGTAATATATGGATGGCTCGCTTTCTTTGTCGCTTTTCTGTTCCTGTTGTGCCAGCCGATAAGGCTCACTTATCAAGTCGTTCTTTACTACTTCCAATCGTTGATGATGCAAGCTTTCCTTTTGAATTATGAGTGTCTTAGCGTGGAGCTTCAGCTGGTAAAAGCCAAAAGTTTATTATGCTGTTTTAAGTTGATAATAATGACGTTGCCAAGCAATTGTCTCAATTTTACATTAAATTCGTATTTAATTTACTGACTCAAATTCAAGATGCCAGATGTTTCCGTAGATATATTTTGAATGTATGCATAAGCTAAATTTACTTGCATCTGTCAATTGTACTCATATTGAGGCTGTGATGTTTTCACACAACTATTGCGGCGTATTTTGTAACTGGTTTGAACGTTTGAACGACATAATGTAATATCCACGTTCTTTTTATGTCGCTTGAAACAATGCGCACCTCTTAAGCAAATTGTGCCTGTGTTCCATGTTGCCTCTTTGTTGGTCTGGCTTATGTGTTCTGCTCTTACTGTGCGGTACTGGATTTTGATGTGCTTCTCTGCTCTCTGGCCATTTTCATTATCAATCCTATATGGATATGTTATTTCACGCTTGATTTCACGTGTGTGTGGTGGGACTTTAACCCGCGCACCGACGGGGGATATCCGCCCCCCCCCCCCTGAGGTTTTTCGCGAATAGCGGGAAAACCGCGGCGCGTAGCGCCGCGAAATTTAGTATGACTATTCCCTTATCAATTTTACACATGGTGTGCAAGTTGGAACCTCCTACCTTTCAAGGTCAGGTCACCAGGTCACTTTGAATGACCCAACCTCAAGTCACTTTTTTGCAACTTTGTCACCGTGCCAGAGCTACAGTAGATGTCGGAGGCCTTTGAAAGTCGCAGGATATTATTAGGTCATTAGTACCTACAATTTGTATATCTCGGAATTTTGATATCGGTGACCTAAGGTCAGGTCAATTTCGCGACCTCCCCATTATAAGTCAATGGGGGAAAAATCAACTCCCTGTTTTTACCACTAAAACGGGTCGGAATGGCCCCATATACCATACATGACTTCATATACGATCAACCTTCACTACCTTGAGGTCTGTTTTGCTGTTGGGCAGCTGTGAGGTCATGTGACGTCATCAAAGGTCACGAAAGGTTTTTGGCCAATAACTCCGTACAGGAACAAGATACAGACGCGTGGATGGTCTCATTGTGTTCAGCTCGTCAAGACGCATCGAATGATATACATGATGACCTCGAGGTCACGTGACCTGAGGTCAACCTTTGACCTTGACCTTTCGAGGTCAACATATATATCATTCGATGCGGATTGACGAGAGGATCACGATGATGCCCTTAGTTTGTTCCTATCTTGACTAATTCGAAAGTTATTCGAGAAAAACTCTCTCCATATTCAGCGCCGCCATTTTGACTTTTTCGACCCCTGTGACGTCATCTTTGACCTGACCTGAAAATGACCTTAGTAAAAATTGTAGATCTTGACCGTGCGTATCCGATGCCGTTTACCGCTTGTCGCTATCTTGCTTCGTTCTCGAGATCTCAGGGGGGGGGCGGTCATCCGCCCCCCCCCCCCCCGTCGGTACTAAGTTGGCGCAGACCCCCGTCGGTGCGCGGGTTAAATGGAGGGCCAGGTCCTATGTTTTCTTATTGCCTACTTGCATGACTTTTTCTGCTATCAGTGGAATATTTTGTTTATCATGTTACACATTCTTCGTTTTGGCAGGATATTGCACCTTTCGGTCTTACCATCTGTTGTAAATACGTGACTTATTTTGTGTCCTTACGTTTCGTCGGCTATGTCTCAACAAGTCGTTTTACGTGGTATGCTGTGTTAAATGGGTTGCCTGCTACACTTTGTTGTATTTAGGCAGCTCAACATCATAACAAGGGCAGCATTTTATTCACTATCGATTTTCGATACAAGTATTTTTGCCCACATGGGAAGAGACTGGCTTTGGGCAGTCTTCTCTAGCTTAGTCTCAGGCATTTTAGCGTTCACTGGTCGCCCTCTTTATCAGATCGCAAACGGCTAACGCAGTCCGGGCGTCCCAGAAGCTCAGCCATCATTATCATTGTTAAGCAGATCCACTTTGTACTAAACCTCAGGCAGTCGTTATCAGTATTGCGTCACATTGCCCTCAATACTTCCCCCTCCGGTGTGATGTATTACGCTCGCTGCGAGACTAATTCTGAGTGTTCCCCCCACAGCCGCGGCCGAGGCGTCCTCCTCTTCCAGCAGTGCCCGCGCCGCTCCCTCGGAGCCGCGCGGCCCGGCCGTCCGTGCAGTCTTCCTGCGGGATAACGGTGACCAGCCGAGCCCGCGGCGCGGAGTTCGCGATGTGCGCGGATCGTACCCGCAGGAGCAGTACCTGATCACCAAGACCGCTGCCGCCAGCAGCTACGCAGGGTGAGGGAGGGGAGAATGGGTGTTGGGGGGGGGGGGGAATGGTGCTGTTTTTGTCGAGTGGAATAATATGCTGAAATTTTACTAACTGAGGCATGTAGGGTGGTACATTATTGCAGATAGCATGACTCCATGTATCCTAAAGACGGATCGTTTTTTTTTTTTTTTTGTACGTTTAAATGTTACTCGGTTAGTAATTCGACGTTTATTGTCTCTACGAAATGTGTTTGTCTAATCAAACTTATTTTACGTACTCTGCGAATCGTAATTCCGCTCCATAATCAGCCCAACCGCTTATTTACCGTAGTCGTTTGCACAGTCGAAGAAGTATTTTCGGTTACTGCTCGCCTCGCATGCACATTCCACAGCTCATGGTGTCTAGCGTGCATTCACTTCCACGTCATAAATGTCTGGAATTTGGACAGTATCCGAAGGACCTGCATGACTCAGGACATTCTGTTTTCTGCAGCCCCCTTACGCGTTCGCGACGATAATGCAGTCTATGATAACTGCTGACCTTCGTTTTTGCAGCGCGGACCTGACCGACAGCCGAGCTGCGCCGTCACTGCCACGGAAGGAAGCCCCCGGCTCCGGTGGCTGGCTGCGCGCCCTGGTCAAACTGAGCGTGCTTCTGATCCTGATCGCCGCTGCATACTACTGCTACCAGGTCGGTGACGAAGTGGGGTTCGAGATTTGTGGCCTATGTAACCATGTGAAGTTTCCTGTCCAACGAGAATAGGATCTATCGAATGTGGCATGGTTTAGATGTACATATGTGCTATTGAGTTTTTGGTATCTGATTTTTACTGAGTTCTGTATTGAATTTTGTTCCTCGTTTTCAGTTAGTGGTTTCCGTGGCCGGCTTGGATAGTGGATACTATATAGTGCTCTACTGTTGCTCTTTAGGATAAATATTCCCGTTACCAACGATCGTCTGTCTCTGTCATTTGACGTTGAGACGCTTTGAGTTGAAAGTTTGCTGATTTTACCTCGATTCCATGCCATCCTCGTTTGTGTAGACCTGTCTTGGCTGCTACATTCTTCTTATGATGCCTATTGTCGTGATAAGCTTAGCTATATCCGGGATGTACTCTACGCACTTTCCCTACGCCTCGGCATCTGACACATTCTCCCTTCTCTCCATACAGCACTACAACGAGGCGCCGAGCTTCGAGGAGCTGCAGAAGGCGGCCCGTGACGCGGTGCACCGCGCTGCTGAGAAGGTGGACGGCCTGCGACAGGCCGCCGCCGGAGCCGCTGCCGGTGAGCAGACCACTCAGACCTAGCCAGCCAGCCGACCGCCTGCCTGCCGCTGCCTGACCCGGACCAGTTCAAATCATCGCGCGTCCTCCCCCGGTGACGACTCACCCCTGCTGCCTGGGTATAGCTTGACCGTGCGGGATGGTCCCACACCGCGCTGGAAGACCGATGGGCGTTAAGCGGATGGTATCGTGTACACTGTACAGTTATGGCTGCTGCCGGTATCGTTGAACAGAGGTGCGCCGTTGGACGGGCCCATTCCCCCATCACTCGCCATTGCTGGAGTGTCGCCCGAGGACTCGTTTCGGGAAGGTATTTTTGACCTGTATGAGTGTGTGTATACCATAAGTAAGCCGAAGTCCGCGATTGTTCACGTAGGTATTCTCCGTCGTTAGACGCATACAAACTATGTACAAGCGCCCCGCCGCCCAAGTTCCCCCATTTTATACGATTTTGGATGCACTTTTTGATGAAGTAATTGTTCAGAATTTCTGGAGATCTGGTTGGAGAGGCGAGGAATTCATGTGTTTAAAAGTTCATCTCATTGCGTTGATGTATTAGGATCATATTTTGAGGTGTTTTGCTGGGTAGCTGGCGTATTATTTCAGTCGAATGCGTTTTTTGTGAAAGCTGAGATCGTCCGATGAGATTCAATATCGTGTGTCTTGCCCACCCCTTTTCCCCTGCAATGTTCGGAATGAATAAACATTTTTGAATAACTCAATTGTTTAAGTGTGTCATGTTTACCCGACCCAAAGTGTTAAGACTTTGGGATCGTATGTCCGTACTGTGTGCTGTGCTTTGTAGTGTCACATTTATCAGCATCAGTGATTTTAGTGCTTAATCATCGCAAGTATTTCAGGGAACAGAGAGTTGAGTGAAATGATAACAGCGTGGTAAATTGTCATACCAGCATCATTTGATGAGTAAGCCTGTTTCTTTGCAGATTTTGGCTTGATAGTAAGCAAAAATGACACCTGTTTTAAACTTTTCATCATGTTCGCGTAGTTGCTAGGGGTTCTCATGTGTAGGTGAATGGGCTCGATACAGGTTTTCTTCCTTACAAATAGAGCTTGAGCTTGCTGGCTTTATTCAAATGGGCCCAGTGACTGAAGCCGCCATGCGGGCCTTGGTCCCCGGAAGCACAGTGTATATAGATACCGGAGGAATGTAAGGTGCTGCATCATGCATGGGGTTAGTCGAGTCTGGCAGCGTGTCAAGTGACCGTGAGCGACAAAGATCTGCTGAGTAAAGTCGAGCTAGGCTCTTGAGGTCGATAGAATGAGCATGCAGTATAGACCTCCGACTCTGTTCGCCTGAAAAAACGATAAATTTGCAAGAATACAAATATCAGATTTGCGAGTTGGGCACAAAATGTAGGGTTTTAGCTAGTGGCGGCAATTTCTCGCTGTAACTAGCCTAAAACACCACGAATGCAGAATGATGGACGTGGTTTGCTTTATGAAAGCTGTTTACTGACTAAATTTTAGCTGTGTTTTAGAGATGATCTGCTGTGAATCCATATACGGCGCAGCTGTTTCATTCAAATTGCATTCAATAAATATCTGTTGTGCTAGTGCTAGCGTAATTTTTGAACGTATAGCCAATTAAAACGTAAAATTTTTGCTTTTACTGCTCGCGTTAAAGAACTTTGATCACAAAACCATCTGCTGTGCCAGTGATCCGTCGTCAAATATGTAACGGAAGTTGGCACAGATTCAGCACAGATTCAGCACAGCACAGATTCGGTAGGGGGAAAAAAGGCCCCGGTAGAGGGAAACCTTTATGACCCGTTTTCCCCTAGAAATGACGTCACAAAGAGGTAAAAATGGGTATCAATCGAAAGCTCTCGTTTACCCAGACACAGTCCTGCAGGAAAATTCCAGTTTTTTCCCATAGGAAAGTTTTTACGGGAAAATCAAAATTTTGGGTCAATGGGGGGTCCCCCCCGATTTCGTTCAAAATCGGCACACAGGTGCCCCACCACCAGCCGAGAAACTTTCCCCAAAACGGTCCCCGTTGCATTGACGTTTAAGGCCCGTAAAGCCCCCTAGACTCGTAAAATATCCGTAAAATCGCCTTTGTACGGACAAAAAAGTGGTGCTATGGTAAAAATGGGTATCAATCGAAAGCTCTCGTTTACCCAGATACAGTCCTGCAGGAAAATTCCACTTTTTCCCCATAGGAAAGTTTTTACGGGAAAATCAAAATTTTGGGTCAATAGGGGTCCCCCCGATTTCGTTCAAAATCGGCACACAGGTGCCCCACCACCAGCCGAGAAACTTTCCCCAAAACGGCCCCCGTTGCATTGACGTTTAAGGCCCTTAAAGCCCCGTAAACTCGTAAAAAATCCGTAAATTCGCCCTTGTACGGCCAAAAACGGGGCGCTAGGGTAAAAATGGGTATCAATCGAAAGCTCTCCTTTACCCAGACACAGTCCTGCAGGAAAATTCCACTTTTTTCCCAAAGGAAAGTTTTTACGGGAAAATCAAAATTTTGGGTCAATGGGGGGTCCCCCCCCAATTTCGTTCCAAATCGGCACACAGGTGCCCCACCACCAGCCGAGAAACTTTCCCCAAAACGGTCCCCGTTGCATTGACGTTTAAGGCCCGTAAAGCCCCCTAGACTCGTAAAATATCCGTAAAATCGCCTTTGTACGGACAAAAAAGTGGTGCTATGGTAAAAATGGGTATCAATCGAAAGCTCTCGTTTACCCAGACACAGTCATGCAGGAAAAGTCCACTTTTTCCCCATAGGAAAGTTTTTACGGGAAAATCAAAATTTCGGGTCAATGGGGGGTCCCCCCCGATTTCGTTCAAAATCGGCACACAGGTGCCCCACCACCAGCCGAGAAACTTTCCCCAAAACGGTCCCCGTTGCATTGACGTTTAAGGCCCGTAAAGCCCCCTAGACTCGTAAAATATCCGTAAAATCGCCTTTGTACGGACAAAAAAGTGGTGCTATGGTAAAAATGGGTATCAATCGAAAGCTCTCGTTTACCCAGACACAGTCCTGCAGGAAAATTCCACTTTTTTCCCATAGGAAAGTTTTTACGGGAAAATCAAAATTTTGGGTCAATGGGGGGTCCCCCCCGATTTCGTTCAAAATCGGCACACAGGTGCCCCACCACCAGCCGAGAAACTTTCCCCAAAACGGTCCCCGTTGCATTGACGTTTAAGGCCCGTAAAGCCCCCTAGACTCGTAAAATATCCGTAAAATCGCCTTTGTACGGACAAAAAAGTGGTGCTATGGTAAAAATGGGTATCAATCGAAAGCTCTCGTTTACCCAGATACAGTCCTGCAGGAAAATTCCACTTTTTCCCCATAGGAAAGTTTTTACGGGAAAATCAAAATTTTGGGTCAATGGGGGGTCCCCCCCGATTTCGTTCAAAATCGGCACACAGGTGCCCCACCACCAGCCGAGAAACTTTCCCCAAAACGGTCCCCGTTGCATTGACGTTTAAGGCCCTTAAAGCCCCGTAAACTCGTAAAAAATCCGTAAATTCGCCCTTGTACGGCCAAAAACGGAACGCTAGGGTAAAAATGGGTATCAATCGAAAGCTCTCGTTTACCCAGACACAGTCCTGCAGGAAAAGTCCACTTTTTCCCCATAGGAAAGTTTTTACGGGAAAATCAAAATTTCGGGTCAATGGGGGGTCCCCCCCGATTTCGTTCAAAATCGGCACACATGTGCCCCACCACCAGCCGAGAAACTTTCCCCAAAACGGTCCCCGTTGCATTGACGTTTAAGGCCCGTAAAGCCCCCTAGACTCGTAAAATATCCGTAAAATCGTCTTTGTACGGACAAAAAAGTGGTGCTATGGTAAAAATGGGTATCAATCGAAAGCTCTCGTTTACCCAGATACAGTCCTGCAGGAAAATTCCACTTTTTCCCCATAGGAAAGTTTTTACGGGAAAATCAAAATTTTGGGTCAATAGGGGTCCCCCCGATTTCGTTCAAAATCGGCACACAGGTGCCCCACCACCAGCCGAGAAACTTTCCCCAAAACGGCCCCCGTTGCATTGACGTTTAAGGCCCTTAAAGCCCCGTAAACTCGTAAAAAATCCGTAAATTCGCCCTTGTACGGCCAAAAACGGGGCGCTAGGGTAAAAATGGGTATCAATCGAAAGCTCTCCTTTACCCAGACACAGTCCTGCAGGAAAATTCCAGTTTTTTCCCATAGGAAAGTTTTTACGGGAAAATCAAAATTTTGGGTCAATGGGGGGTCCCCCCCGATTTCGTTCAAAATCGGCACACAGGTGCCCCACCACCAGCCGAGAAACTTTCCCCAAAACGGTCCCCGTTGCATTGACGTTTAAGGCCCGTAAAGCCCCCTAGACTCGTAAAATATCCGTAAAATCGCCTTTGTACGGACAAAAAAGTGGTGCTATGGTAAAAATGGGTATCAATCGAAAGCTCTCGTTTACCCAGATACAGTCCTGCAGGAAAATTCCACTTTTTCCCCATAGGAAAGTTTTTACGGGAAAATCAAAATTTTGGGTCAATAGGGGTCCCCCCGATTTCGTTCAAAATCGGCACACAGGTGCCCCACCACCAGCCGAGAAACTTTCCCCAAAACGGCCCCCGTTGCATTGACGTTTAAGGCCCTTAAAGCCCCGTAAACTCGTAAAAAATCCGTAAATTCGCCCTTGTACGGCCAAAAACGGGGCGCTAGGGTAAAAATGGGTATCAATCGAAAGCTCTCCTTTACCCAGACACAGTCCTGCAGGAAAATTCCACTTTTTTCCCAAAGGAAAGTTTTTACGGGAAAATCAAAATTTTGGGTCAATGGGGGGTCCCCCCCCAATTTCGTTCCAAATCGGCACACAGGTGCCCCACCACCAGCCGAGAAACTTTCCCCAAAACGGTCCCCGTTGCATTGACGTTTAAGGCCCGTAAAGCCCCCTAGACTCGTAAAATATCCGTAAAATCGCCTTTGTACGGACAAAAAAGTGGTGCTATGGTAAAAATGGGTATCAATCGAAAGCTCTCGTTTACCCAGACACAGTCATGCAGGAAAAGTCCACTTTTTCCCCATAGGAAAGTTTTTACGGGAAAATCAAAATTTCGGGTCAATGGGGGGTCCCCCCCGATTTCGTTCAAAATCGGCACACAGGTGCCCCACCACCAGCCGAGAAACTTTCCCCAAAACGGTCCCCGTTGCATTGACGTTTAAGGCCCGTAAAGCCCCCTAGACTCGTAAAATATCCGTAAAATCGCCTTTGTACGGACAAAAAAGTGGTGCTATGGTAAAAATGGGTATCAATCGAAAGCTCTCGTTTACCCAGACACAGTCCTGCAGGAAAATTCCACTTTTTTCCCATAGGAAAGTTTTTACGGGAAAATCAAAATTTTGGGTCAATGGGGGGTCCCCCCCGATTTCGTTCAAAATCGGCACACAGGTGCCCCACCACCAGCCGAGAAACTTTCCCCAAAACGGTCCCCGTTGCATTGACGTTTAAGGCCCGTAAAGCCCCCTAGACTCGTAAAATATCCGTAAAATCGCCTTTGTACGGACAAAAAAGTGGTGCTATGGTAAAAATGGGTATCAATCGAAAGCTCTCGTTTACCCAGATACAGTCCTGCAGGAAAATTCCACTTTTTCCCCATAGGAAAGTTTTTACGGGAAAATCAAAATTTTGGGTCAATGGGGGGTCCCCCCCGATTTCGTTCAAAATCGGCACACAGGTGCCCCACCACCAGCCGAGAAACTTTCCCCAAAACGGTCCCCGTTGCATTGACGTTTAAGGCCCTTAAAGCCCCGTAAACTCGTAAAAAATCCGTAAATTCGCCCTTGTACGGCCAAAAACGGAACGCTAGGGTAAAAATGGGTATCAATCGAAAGCTCTCGTTTACCCAGACACAGTCCTGCAGGAAAAGTCCACTTTTTCCCCATAGGAAAGTTTTTACGGGAAAATCAAAATTTCGGGTCAATGGGGGGTCCCCCCCGATTTCGTTCAAAATCGGCACACATGTGCCCCACCACCAGCCGAGAAACTTTCCCCAAAACGGTCCCCGTTGCATTGACGTTTAAGGCCCGTAAAGCCCCCTAGACTCGTAAAATATCCGTAAAATCGTCTTTGTACGGACAAAAAAGTGGTGCTATGGTAAAAATGGGTATCAATCGAAAGCTCTCGTTTACCCAGATACAGTCCTGCAGGAAAATTCC